TCGTTTATGAAGTCCATGTCGTCCTCCTCGATGTCGGTGCAGTCCAGGACAAACCTGAGCACAGTGCTGTTGTTGGACATGGCCTCCCGCAGGGCTTTACCTCCTTCCACTCCCAGTTTGCAGAATAGGAGACTGATCCTTGTCAGGGTTGGGTTCTGGATGAGCACTTTGGAGAGAGCGATGGCGGTCAGCTCGCCCACCTCGTTCCCCCCCAGGTCCAGGGTCTTCAGGGAGGAGTTGTTGACCAGAGCGGTCGCGATGGCTTCCCCTCCTTCGTCCCCCACACGGTTCAGGCTCAGGTTCAGCTCCTCCAGAGTGGTGTTAGTGGAGAGGCCGTGGGCGATGGCTTTAGCGCCGTGGTCTCTGATCATGGTGTTGTAAAGTTTGAGGGTCTTCAGTTTACTCTGGGTGAGCAGTTTGCCGATGGCTCTGGCTCCTCTGTCTTCTATGCAGTTGAAACTGAGGTCCAGCTTGGTCAAAGATGGGTGGTCCAGTAAGTGTTCAACCAGAAGTCTGCACTGAGTGTCATCGACCATGCTGTGGTAGAGGTGCAGAACCTTGAGAGTCTTGCAGGACTTGACAGCCTGAGCCAGCGTCTCACAGTCCCTCTGCGTCATCCGAAACATATCCTTCTGGTAGTTGATGCCGCACTGCTTCACTCTGTACACCAGGTGGAGCTCTTCCAGGTTGTCCAGCTTTTCCAGCAGGACATTGAAATTAAAATGGTCTAGAAAAGGTTTGTCCTCTTCATCGTGGATACTGCCCAGCTTGGAATGTTCCTCCTCTTCCTCCTTCTTCTGTAGTGTTTTAATCGGCAGGAGTAGCTCTTTAATATCCAATCCTTTCACATAATCTTTACACAGAGGTACCATTTCCAGGATGGTTTTGAGCTTGGTTTCTCCAGGGATGAACGCTTCGATTAGTCCCTCCAAGTAGCGCTCAAAAAAACAGTCTCTTCCAGCTCTGGCCATGGTAGGACACGTCGCAGTTGTCCCAGAGTTCCTTGGAGCGGCGTTCCCAGTAGACGCCGTCGGGGATCAGGTTGGCCGTGACTGTGAGGGGAGCATTCGGTGGTAGCTTCTCCTGGATGAACTTCTGCTCAGAAGGCCCCAGTTCTCCATATATAGGAAGAACTTCTATGTTCTTGATGATTTCCTGCAGACAGAGTTTGGACAGGTAAGGCACTTGTTCCAGGGACCAGTCTGGATCCTCAGTGATGATCCTCCTCCTGTGTTTAACGCTCATTTTTGATGTGAGGCGTCTGAACATCTTTCTGTTTATGTAGAGAAACTGCGTAGAGAGCTCAACAAATGCGTCTGCTTCGGTCGACTGTTCTCTAGAAATGAACTTAGTGGAACACTCTTCCACAGCTTACAAAGGTCAGGATAGAATTCTGAAACTAAATATCAAAGGTTGTCATGGAGATATGTAAATTAGGGGTTGATAAATAAAGAAAGCATTTTTTAAAAACAAGGTTTACAGATTGCTGTACAAGCAGCAATGAACATTACAGAAAGCATGGAAATAGCACACAGAAAGCATACAAAAACAGACAACGATACAAACAATCCAATTAATTATAATAAATAGGGTTGTCCCGATCTGATCACGTGATCAGAAATCGGCGCCAATCACGTGACTGCGGACTCGATCCGGATTCGGACGTTATGGTACTGTACTTTCAATTTACTACAGCTCTTTTTACTACAAACGTATACAAGAACAGTGTAGACACATTTTGTGCTTTTATCTCTTTGCACTGAAGTGTTTTAATTTTGCATTCTTAAGGTTAGGGTTGCATATTATTAGGTAGCTGGTTGGTCAAAACAAAATATCGACCAATGGAGATTTAAGGCCAATAGCTGATAAACAAAAAAGTGCAAATAATGTCCTGATGTATATTGGTTTATTTCTATTATTAGTCCACTATCTCAGTCTCCTTGTCTCCGTGGAGATGTGATTGCTTTGCATGGAATGTTCCACACCAATTACATTAAACATATCTTTTATTTATTTTGCCGGCAGTAGATCAGTTTGGTGTGTGTTGGTCCATACACCAGTGTTTGTGAACAGATCAACAGAGAAAGACTATGGCTGAAATCTGATGGTGACTGTGGTTTGTGTGAGTTTGGTAAGAAACACGGTGTTTTGATGCTACAGTTCAGGTGCATTCTGCTAAAAACAAACTCAAATTAAAATCACTGTTGGCAACATGATGGATTAAAAGGTTCTTGTCTTGTTGCGGTGTTTATCAGTCCGCCATTTCTGGAATAAAGTCCATAACAAGAGATAGTTTACTGATGTGTCTCGTGCAAATGTTCACAGTTTTTCTCTCAGACATCTTTAGATAAAACTAATCCCGTGCGAATAGGCCTTAAATCTAAACCAATCATTTTGGAGACAGAACACTGCTAAATGGTCATTGTCACATATATATATTTTTACTCTTAAAATATGACTAGACAGACAGCTTATTATTTGAAAATTGTTTATTTATTCATTTTCATGTATTATTTTGAAAGATGCGGGGTGGCATTGTTACCTCGGTGCATCCTGTCACTTCCCATGCTGCTGTCTGGAATATAAAATATGAATCAAATTTCAATGATGGTAATGGATCATAATTCAAATATACATACCTTTGTCCTTTGTCCTGTATGGGGCCATGAAGTGGCAAACAAGATCATTTAGCGCTACAGTTACTGGAAGTTACATGGCCGACGCACACACTGTGGCTTCCTCTTTTCTGCACCACTGGAGGAAAAACTAAAACACAACCGTTACAGTATATACTATAAACATACAAATAGAAAAATATGTAATACTTATTTGTTACATTAACAATGCAACACATATTCAGATCTGTGCGTGCGTACTTTCATTTGTCTGTTTGTCCATTCTTAGTTTTATTCCTAAAATGATCGTGTTGTTTGAACAAATTTAAAGTTGTATGGATGCAGCTCCAGTTCCACACAATACTTTTACAGGAAATACTCCAGTACTACTGTATTTGTTATCCCTCCCTCGGCTTTATTCAGATAAAATGACCAAATGCAGCTCGAGTTCTCCTCTTTAGGAGCACCTCTCTTCTGCTCGGGCGTCTTTAGGCGCGCTCTCTATCACTGTGCACTCAGAGCTGGGTCCCCGCGCGCACACACTTCATGGTTGTTTGGGGATCCTATTTAATAGCCCAATATCCAAAATAAATATTTAAAAAGTAGTGTAGTAGCAGTATACTTGGAAGTAATAGAAGTTAAATGGTAAGTTGTGAAATTGGCGTATTTAGAACAACAGACCTCTACAGCGCCAGGCTCTAGTCAAAGTGCACCCTTTGGTAAAAAAGGATATAAGCACTATTCTCTTTGCTCCTGCACACGTCCCACCCAGTGGCCTTCTGTACGTGGAGGTCATTATAGCACAGCCACCCATCGGTTGGCTCAAGGGGACTGTCGGCCAGGTCTTGCCCATCAAACACGTAGTGTCCTATAGAAGCACACACACAGTAAAGATGAGAGTTCAAGTTTCTTTAAGACATTTTCCTAGTGTTGAGTAATAAATATTTTTCTCACCACAGTCGGCCGAGTTTCCAAGGTGGGAAATGACACCCACCAGACTGAAACAGCCAGAATCCTGTAGAAAGCACAAATGGCACGTTACTAAGAAAGTTCAAAAGTTCCTTCACTACAACTGTGGAAAATTGACTTTACATTGTCTGACGACACCACAAGGTCTCTGTTTAAGTAGACGGCATCATTGAACTTCTCCAGCTGGTAACTGGGTGTGAACCTGACCCTTTTCAGGTGGAGCATCAGAACTCTGCGTAAGGACAAAATGTAAACAATAGTTAGTAAGGAGAAGGCAGTTGTTTCATTCAAATGAACGTTTGTTCCACTTACTCGGGCAGTGTCGAAAAGCTGTTTTGTACGGAGGACATTTGCTCACCACAGCCGCACATGTACTCCAGGTCTGTGGCCTGTCAAAATCAAACATAATGTGAAAATTAAATAAAAATACAGTACTGTATTGAGTATTTCAAATTCACAAATAAAGTTACTCGGCCAGATAAATACTTGGATTATACCAAAGGAAACAGTTTGAAAATCTTACTTTCAAATAGTCGTCCAGGAGGTCCTGAGCCGTAGCATCTTTACGCAGGTTCAGAGAAACAGAGTTAAAAATCTCTGTGTGACGTGAGCCCATTCCACACCTGCACAAACATTAATACGGTACATGGAGTATATGAAGTACATCAAGTATGTATGAAGTAAATGATACTGAAGAGTACTGTGTTTGCTGTGAGCCCGTACCTCTGGCAGGTCCTGGTCTGATCCATGTTAAAGATGAGCTCCTGCACTGGGCACCTGTAGGTAGTGCCCAGGCTCAAAGCAATTCTCTGCAGTGTTGGTGCCAAACTTTGAATTTGACTAAACAACGCAGTGAGGAACGCATGGGGGTCCTGAAACACACACACAGTAACTTTAGTTTATCAGAACCAGAATGTTTCATTAATCCTCAAAGAAATATCAAATTAGTGTACCGGTTTGTCTTTATGGAATCTTTATGAAAATGTTATGACTTTTTAATTTAATTAACTGAACAGCCTTTTTCACTGCGTAAAAACTAAAAAACCTAAACCTAAAGAAAAGTCACTTTTGTAATCTCTATAGAGTTTGAAAACTAATTTAAATATACTACTAATGCATTATGTTAGATACAAAATTCACTGCTACTTCTGATAAATGTAATTGTTCTAAATAATTATTATTTCAGTTATATCCTGTTTTTGCCAGAATGGAGCATCCCTCAATCATGGCTAAAGTTACTCACTTGCTGTTGGGACCCTGTAAACTCTGGAGCCTTGGAAGCTACAAGGGCCTTGAAAGAGCGCATCAGTGTGTTCCTCTTATCTTCCTGAGTGGAGTATCTCCACTTTTGGATGGAGTAAAGGTGTCTGTGGAAGAGACATGAGCTCATCAAATAAGGCATTTCACTCTGTACGGTTTACATTACTTTTTTGTAGTAATTATCGATCATTATTTAAAAAAGATTGTAACTGTAAACTTTAGTGTCTGAGAGAGAAAAGAAAGGATAAAAAAGATAAAACAGTTTCCTTATACAGTGACCTCTGCTGGTTGCTTTTACACAGTTAGAAAATGGTAAATATGTATTTAGTAAAGGGTGCGTAGCTGTCGCGTACCTCAACAGGCCTGCGTCTCTGCTCTTCACCCAAACTCTCTTCTGAGAGCTCACGCTCACCATGAACAGCTCCAGGGTCATGATGCTCTGAACACTGGCGTTGATGTAGCACGTATTTCCAATGTTGGGAAGTCTGCAAATGAAAACAACATCATCTAATCTCTGTTCAGTTATTGTCAATAAACTGCATCAATCATAACTAAAAAACGTACCCAAAGCGCGCCAGGTTGACCGTCACTGTTTGGCAAGGAACAGGCTTAGGAGGATTGGGGCTAAAGAAAGACAAACCAGAGATTACAAAAGTATTCTTAATTCTTAAAACTACTTTGTTTTAACATAAATATCTACAATCCTCTGATTAAAAAAATAAATAAATAAAAAAAGTAAGTAAATTCTGATGTACCATTTCTGTTGGTTAAAACCCAGACACTTGAATACTGATGGAGGACAGTTCTGTTCCTTGGTCACTTCATCAGGGGAAACCTTTCCTCCAGTCTGTTAAAGAAACAGAAACATTACACACTGAAGCCAGAGCTGTACTAGTATATACTGTAATACATGTAACTGAAACTTACCTGTACACAGCTGGGCTTTGTGGACTCTGCAACCCTGAAACAAACACATGTTATTTTACATTCAGATTTAATAAATACATTTTAATTTGTATTACTTAAAAACTTCTAAATGTGTAAAATGAGTGCCTACCGGGCCTGTACTGGCGTCCTGGCCTTTGGTGTTGGGTCTGGTTCTTCGATTGGAAAAGGGCAAACCTTGTTCCTCTTCTGTTAATTAAATAAATATTTTAAAAACAGCAAATAAATAAAGTCCTATTATCATATGATTCAGTTCTATTATGAGACGTGCACTTACTCTCCAGAACCTGAGAGGCCTACTGCTCTTACTAGCCTCTTTTTCTGATGGAGATTGGGCCTTTTTCTTTTTCTGAGAGAAACACAAGAGTCAAATATCAGAAACAATTTTAAACAAAAATACTGCAGTTTAACTGTTCAAGTGATAACATAAAGTGTGACGTACTAAAAGACATCTTAACCACGATAAACACCCAGTTGTTTTGGGGGGTTCACAGCTGTTCTCGATGTCATCTGGATTCAGGACTTGCACATCCTGCTAAAACACAAGAAAACTTTGTGAAAATACAGTTAAGTGTTGGGAACAACTCCGATCAAACATTGACTGACGCAAGACAAATGACTCCTGACTCTAAACTCTCACTAAACATAACTCATTTGAACCTAAACCAAACTAATGTTGCAGTTTACTACACATAACTGACCTGTGCACAACATATGAGGCGTCTGAACATCTTTCTGTTTATGTAGAGAAACTGCGTAGAGAGCTCAACAAATGCGTCTGCTTCGGTCGACTGTTCTCTAGAAATGAACTTAGTGGAACACTCTTCCACAGCTTACAAAGGTCAGGATAGAATTCTGAAACTAAATATCAAAGGTTGTCATGGAGATATGTAAATTAGGGGTTGATAAATAAAGAAAGCATTTTTTAAAAACAAGGTTTACAGATTGCTGTACAAGCAGCAATGAACATTACAGAAAGCATGGAAATAGCACACAGAAAGCATACAAAAACAGACAACGATACAAACAATCCAGTTAATTATAATAAATAGGGTTGTCCCGATCTGATCACGTGATCAGAAATCGGCGCCAATCACGTGACTGCGGACTCGATCCGGATTCGGACGTTATGGTCCGATCAGGTATCGGATAAATAATATATGTATATAACACACAGGACACACAGCTTACAACAGTTTTCTGAGGCGCGGGATTTGATCAGGGAAGTCCAGTGAGAGCGATTGTTTGTCCCAGCGCCCGCTGTACTAGAGGCAGTGTTGGGAAGGTTACTTTTAAAATGTATTCCCCTACAGATTACAGACCTCAAAAGTGAGTAAGTAACGTAATCTGAATACTTTGGATTACTTGATATTGTCATGTTTTTTTTAAAACTACATGAATGTAGCGACCACATCCTGAAAGATCTTGTTTGTTCAGTCTTTACTTAACCGTATTATTATTTTGTCCCGCGTCCGCCTGCAAGTCCCGCAGGATGGGAACCTTTGCTTTCTTAAGCTCTATCAAACACAGAGAAGTCAAAGGATTTGGGCTGCGTGTGGGAGGAGGCGCGGTGGGCGGTCCGGTGGCATGGTTAAGTCCTGGCTAAGTCCTGTTTTAGTCCTGGTTTTAGACCTGTTTTCAGCTCTGGTTTAGTTCTGGTTTAGTGGTGTAGCCCGCGCGACATACGGGACAAGGGGGGACTGATCGTGTGGTGTACGGCTGGGTGGACTCTTCGCGTGGCGTACGGGACGAGAGGGGGGACTCTTCGCACGGCGTACAGGAGGGGGGACATCTGCTGCTTAAAATGTTTTTATTAACGCCAAATAAAATATTATACAAATTATGCATGATATGCTTACATTCATTTGTATATTTTACTTTGCACTAATATTTAGTTTGCGGGACTGCAGTTTATTATCCCTCCCGCCCACTCCCGCGTTGTGCAGTCTCGCTCCCGCCCGCACACCCGCAGTGAGCTTTCAAAATTTGTCCCGCGCAGCACTGTTTTGCGTGGGGTCCCGCGGGACTGCAGGGCTCTGTTACACAGTGCACCTTACATCGCCTTAAACTGTCTGAAAACAGTCGGGATGTCAGGAAGACTTTTGTTTTTTGTAATATTACAGCCATAGCAGATTGGTGTTTTGACTGTAAACACAATCAAATGTGTTAATGTCATAAATACTGCGCACCTGCCAGACTCAAAATTATTTGGTTTGTTAAAACAGTGAATAGAAGGGTAACTGACAGTAACACTGTGCAAATATAACAAATAGTTTATTAATCACGCTGTATTTACTCCTGTGAGAAGTGGGCCCAGAATGTGGCAGTTCGAACGACTTGAAGACTTCATGAAGATTCAATGATCTTCACATTTCCCATGTCACATTTTTATAAATAATAATTTTCTGCATCCATGCTTTGGCCTATTCAATCATTGTACAAAACATCGCCCATATTAAATGTGATTCTCTGCAGTGGTGTATTTAACTATTACAGTGTACTTTAGTAACATGTTACCCAGGCTGATGCTGATACTGAGTGTTTAGAATTCAGAGAAGCTCATGCCTGATAAACTCTGACAATATTTTTTGGGCCGTTTTTCATTGTTTTTTCCAATTTCTGTACTTTCAATTTACTACAGCTCTTTTTACTACAAACGTATACAAGAACAGTGTAGACACATTTTGTGCTTTTTTCTCTTTGCACTGAAGTGTTTTAATTTTGCATTCTTAAGGTTAGGGTTGCATATTATTAGGTAGCTGGTTGGTCAAAACAAAATATCGACCAATGGAGATTTAAGGCCAATAGCTGATAAACAAAAAAGTGCAAATAATGTCCTGATGTATATTGGTTTATTTCTATTATTAGTCCACTATCTCAGTCTCCTTGTCTCCGTGGAGATGTGATTGCTTTGCATGGAATGTTCCACACCAATTACATTAAACATATCTTTTATTTATTTTGCCGGCAGTAGATCAGTTTGGTGTGTGTTGGTCCATACACCAGTGTTTGTGAACAGATCAACAGAGAAAGACTATGGCTGAAATCTGATGGTGACTGTGGTTTGTGTGAGTTTGGTAAGAAACACGGTGTTTTGATGCTACAGTTCAGGTAGCATTTTTTATTTTTTTTTAAGTTTGATCATTATTATTTATGTCTTCTTTAATTAATTCATTGAAATACATTGGTACAGTTTTGGTCTTGACTTAAGAGACACCCGCTCCTCGTTGGCCCACACCACCTCGTTTATGAAGTCCATGTCGTCCTCCTCGATGTCGGTGCAGTCCAGGACAAACCTGAGCACAGTGCTGTTGTTGGACATGGCCTCCCGCAGGGCTTTACCTCCTTCCACTCCCAGTTTGCAGAATAGGAGACTGATCCTTGTCAGGGTTGGGTTCTGGATGAGCACTTTGGAGAGAGCGATGGCGGTCAGCTCGCCCACCTCGTTCCCCCCCAGGTCCAGGGTCTTCAGGGAGGAGTTGTTGACCAGAGCGGTCGCGATGGCTTCCCCTCCTTCGTCCCCCACACGGTTCAGGCTCAGGTTCAGCTCCTCCAGAGTGGTGTTAGTGGAGAGGCCGTGGGCGATGGCTTTAGCGCCGTGGTCTCTGATCATGGTGTTGTAAAGTTTGAGGGTCTTCAGTTTACTCTGGGTGAGCAGTTTGCCGATGGCTCTGGCTCCTCTGTCTTCTATGCAGTTGAAACTGAGGTCCAGCTTGGTCAAAGATGGGTGGTCCAGTAAGTGTTCAACCAGAAGTCTGCACTGAGTGTCATCGACCATGCTGTGGTAGAGGTGCAGAACCTTGAGAGTCTTGCAGGACTTGACAGCCTGAGCCAGCGTCTCACAGTCCCTCTGCGTCATCCGAAACATATCCTTCTGGTAGTTGATGCCGCACTGCTTCACTCTGTACACCAGGTGGAGCTCTTCCAGGTTGTCCAGCTTTTCCAGCAGGACATTGAAATTAAAATGGTCTAGAAAAGGTTTGTCCTCTTCATCGTGGATACTGCCCAGCTTGGAATGTTCCTCCTCTTCCTCCTTCTTCTGTAGTGTTTTAATCGGCAGGAGTAGCTCTTTAATATCCAATCCTTTCACATAATCTTTACACAGAGGTACCATTTCCAGGATGGTTTTGAGCTTGGTTTCTCCAGGGATGAACGCTTCGATTAGTCCCTCCAAGTAGCGCTCAAAAAAACAGTCTCTTCCAGCTCTGGCCATGGTAGGACACGTCGCAGTTGTCCCAGAGTTCCTTGGAGCGGCGTTCCCAGTAGACGCCGTCGGGGATCAGGTTGGCCGTGACTGTGAGGGGAGCATTCGGTGGTAGCTTCTCCTGGATGAACTTCTGCTCAGAAGGCCCCAGTTCTCCATATATAGGAAGAACTTCTATGTTCTTGATGATTTCCTGCAGACAGAGTTTGGACAGGTAAGGCACTTGTTCCAGGGACCAGTCTGGATCCTCAGTGATGATCCTCCTCCTGTGTTTAACGCTCATTTTTGATGTGAGGCGTCTGAACATCTTTCTGTTTATGTAGAGAAACTGCGTAGAGAGCTCAACAAATGCGTCTGCTTCGGTCGACTGTTCTCTAGAAATGAACTTAGTGGAACACTCTTCCACAGCTTACAAAGGTCAGGATAGAATTCTGAAACTAAATATCAAAGGTTGTCATGGAGATATGTAAATTAGGGGTTGATAAATAAAGAAAGCATTTTTTAAAAACAAGGTTTACAGATTGCTGTACAAGCAGCAATGAACATTACAGAAAGCATGGAAATAGCACACAGAAAGCATACAAAAACAGACAACAATACAAACAATCCAATTAATTATAATAAATAGGGTTGTCCCGATCTGATCACGTGATCAGAAATCGGCGCCAATCACGTGACTGCGGACTCGATCCGGATTCGGACGTTATGGTACTGTACTTTCAATTTACTACAGCTCTTTTTACTACAAACGTATACAAGAACAGTGTAGACACATTTTGTGCTTTTATCTCTTTGCACTGAAGTGTTTTAATTTTGCATTCTTAAGGTTAGGGTTGCATATTATTAGGTAGCTGGTTGGTCAAAACAAAATATCGACCAATGGAGATTTAAGGCCAATAGCTGATAAACAAAAAAGTGCAAATAATGTCCTGATGTATATTGGTTTATTTCTATTATTAGTCCACTATCTCAGTCTCCTTGTCTCCGTGGAGATGTGATTGCTTTGCATGGAATGTTCCACACCAATTACATTAAACATATCTTTTATTTATTTTGCCGGCAGTAGATCAGTTTGGTGTGTGTTGGTCCATACACCAGTGTTTGTGAACAGATCAACAGAGAAAGACTATGGCTGAAATCTGATGGTGACTGTGGTTTGTGTGAGTTTGGTAAGAAACACGGTGTTTTGATGCTACAGTTCAGGTGCATTCTGCTAAAAACAAACTCAAATTAAAATCACTGTTGGCAACATGATGGATTAAAAGGTTCTTGTCTTGTTGCGGTGTTTATCAGTCCGCCATTTCTGGAATAAAGTCCATAACAAGAGATAGTTTACTGATGTGTCTCGTGCAAATGTTCACAGTTTTTCTCTCAGACATCTTTAGATAAAACTAATCCCGTGCGAATAGGCCTTAAATCTAAACCAATCATTTTGGAGACAGAACACTGCTAAATGGTCATTGTCACATATATATATATTTTTACTCTTAAAATATGACTAGACAGACAGCTTATTATTTGAAAATTGTTTATTTATTCATTTTCATGTATTATTTTGAAAGATGCGGGGTGGCATTGTTACCTCGGTGCATCCTGTCACTTCCCATGCTGCTGTCTGGAATATAAAATATGAATCAAATTTCAATGATGGTAATGGATCATAATTCAAATATACATACCTTTGTCCTTTGTCCTGTATGGGGCCATGAAGTGGCAAACAAGATCATTTAGCGCTACAGTTACTGGAAGTTACATGGCCGACGCACACACTGTGGCTTCCTCTTTTCTGCACCACTGGAGGAAAAACTAAAACACAACCGTTACAGTATATACTATAAACATACAAATAGAAAAATATGTAATACTTATTTGTTACATTAACAATGCAACACATATTCAGATCTGTGCGTGCGTACTTTCATTTGTCTGTTTGTCCATTCTTAGTTTTATTCCTAAAATGATCGTGTTGTTTGAACAAATTTAAAGTTGTATGGATGCAGCTCCAGTTCCACACAATACTTTTACAGGAAATACTCCAGTACTACTGTATTTGTTATCCCTCCCTCGGCTTTATTCAGATAAAATGACCAAATGCAGCTCGAGTTCTCCTCTTTAGGAGCACCTCTCTTCTGCTCGGCCGTCTTTAGCAGCACCTCTCTTCTGCTCGGCCGTCTTTAGGAGCACCTCTCTTCTGCTCGGCGTCTTTAGGAGCACCTCTCTTCTGCTCGGCCGTCTTTAGGAGCACCTCTCTTCTGCTCGGGCGTCTTTAGCAGCACCTCTCTTCTGCTCGGCCGTCTTTAGCAGCACCTCTCTCTGCTGGCGTCTTTCAGAGCGCCTCTCTTCTGCTCGGGCGTCTATCACTGTGCACTCAGAGCTGGGTCCCCGCGCGCACACACTTCATGGTTGTTTGGGGATCCTATTTAATAGCGGCTCGTCTATCACTGTGCACTCAGAGCTGGGTCCCCGCGCGCACACACTTCATGGTTGTTTGGGGATCCTATTTAATAGCCCAATATCCAAAATAAATATTTAAAAAGTAGTGTAGTAGCAGTATACTTGGAAGTAATAGAAGTTAAATGGTAAGTTGTGAAATTGGCGTATTTAGAACAACAGACCTCTACAGCGCCAGGCTCTAGTCAAAGTGCACCCTTTGGTAAAAAAGGATATAAGCACTATTCTCTTTGCTCCTGCACACGTCCCACCCAGTGGCCTTCTGTACGTGGAGGTCATTATAGCACAGCCACCCATCGGTTGGCTCAAGGGGACTGTCGGCCAGGTCTTGCCCATCAAACACGTAGTGTCCTATAGAAGCACACACACAGTAAAGATGAGAGTTCAAGTTTCTTTAAGACATTTTCCTAGTGTTGAGTAATAAATATTTTTCTCACCACAGTCGGCCGAGTTTCCAAGGTGGGAAATGACACCCACCAGACTGAAACAGCCAGAATCCTGTAGAAAGCACAAATGGCACGTTACTAAGAAAGTTCAAAAGTTCCTTCACTACAACTGTGGAAAATTGACTTTACATTGTCTGACGACACCACAAGGTCTCTGTTTAAGTAGACGGCATCATTGAACTTCTCCAGCTGGTAACTGGGTGTGAACCTGACCCTTTTCAGGTGGAGCATCAGAACTCTGCGTAAGGACAAAATGTAAACAATAGTTAGTAAGGAGAAGGCAGTTGTTTCATTCAAATGAACGTTTGTTCCACTTACTCGGGCAGTGTCGAAAAGCTGTTTTGTACGGAGGACATTTGCTCACCACAGCCGCACATGTACTCCAGGTCTGTGGCCTGTCAAAATCAAACATAATGTGAAAATTAAATAAAAATACAGTACTGTATTGAGTATTTCAAATTCACAAATAAAGTTACTCGGCCAGATAAATACTTGGATTATACCAAAGGAAACAGTTTGAAAATCTTACTTTCAAATAGTCGTCCAGGAGGTCCTGAGCCGTAGCATCTTTACGCAGGTTCAGAGAAACAGAGTTAAAAATCTCTGTGTGACGTGAGCCCATTCCACACCTGCACAAACATTAATACGGTACATGGAGTATATGAAGTACATCAAGTATGTATGAAGTAAATGATACTGAAGAGTACTGTGTTTGCTGTGAGCCCGTACCTCTGGCAGGTCCTGGTCTGATCCATGTTAAAGATGAGCTCCTGCACTGGGCACCTGTAGGTAGTGCCCAGGCTCAAAGCAATTCTCTGCAGTGTTGGTGCCAAACTTTGAATTTGACTAAACAACGCAGTGAGGAACGCATGGGGGTCCTGAAACACACACACAGTAACTTTAGTTTATCAGAACCAGAATGTTTCATTAATCCTCAAAGAAATATCAAATTAGTGTACCGGTTTGTCTTTATGGAATCTTTATGAAAATGTTATGACTTTTTAATTTAATTAACTGAACAGCCTTTTTCACTGCGTAAAAACTAAAAAACCTAAACCTAAAGAAAAGTCACTTTTGTAATCTCTATAGAGTTTGAAAACTAATTTAAATATATACTACTAATGCATTATGTTAGATACAAAATTCACTGCTACTTCTGATAAATGTAATTGTTCTAAATAATTATTATTTCAGTTATATCCTGTTTTTGCCAGAATGGAGCATCCCTCAATCATGGCTAAAGTTACTCACTTGCTGTTGGGACCCTGTAAACTCTGGAGCCTTGGAAGCTACAAGGGCCTTGAAAGAGCGCATCAGTGTGTTCCTCTTATCTTCCTGAGTGGAGTATCTCCACTTTTGGATGGAGTAAAGGTGTCTGTGGAAGAGACATGAGCTCATCAAATAAGGCATTTCACTCTGTACGGTTTACATTACTTTTTTGTAGTAATTATCGATCATTATTTAAAAAAGATTGTAACTGTAAACTTTAGTGTCTGAGAGAGAAAAGAAAGGATAAAAAAGATAAAACAGTTTCCTTATACAGTGACCTCTGCTGGTTGCTTTTACACAGTTAGAAAATGGTAAATATGTATTTAGTAAAGGGTGCGTAGCTGTCGCGTACCTCAACAGGCCTGCGTCTCTGCTCTTCACCCAAACTCTCTTCTGAGAGCTCACGCTCACCATGAACAGCTCCAGGGTCATGATGCTCTGAACACTGGCGTTGATGTAGCACGTATTTCCAATGTTGGGAAGTCTGCAAATGAAAACAACATCATCTAATCTCTGTTCAGTTATTGTCAATAAACTGCATCAATCATAACTAAAAAACGTACCCAAAGCGCGCCAGGTTGACCGTCACTGTTTGGCAAGGAACAGGCTTAGGAGGACTTGGGGCTAAAGAAAGACAAACCAGAGATTACAAAAGTATTCTTAATTCTTAAAACTACTTTGTTTTAACATAAATATCTACAATCCTCTGATTAAAAAAATAAATAAATAAAAAAAAGTAAGTAAATTCTGATGTACCATTTCTGTTGGTTAAAACCCAGACACTTGAATACTGATGGAGGACAGTTCTGTTCCTTGGTCACTTCATCAGGGGAAACCTTTCCTCCAGTCTGTTAAAGAAACAGAAACATTACACACTGAAGCCAGAGCTGTACTAGTATATACTGTAATACATGTAACTGAAACTTACCTGTACACAGCTGGGCTTTGTGGACTCTGCAACCCTGAAACAAACACATGTTATTTTACATTCAGATTTAATAAATACATTTTAATTTGTATTACTTAAAAACTTCTAAATGTGTAAAATGAGTGCCTACCGGGCCTGTACTGGCGTCCTGGCCTTTGGTGTTGGGTCTGGTTCTTCGATTGGAAAAGG